ATTTCGAAAATGAGCAAATTGCTAAATGATGTGATGCATTAAATTGTACCTTGCGGTAACCGAGATTTTCGGGTTCAGAATCGTTGGTCCACGAAGTTGCTTTTGTTCCGGACATCTGTGTAAATCCATATCAGATAGGGCGTTTCGATCGACGTACGGCCGTGTACATGTTGTCCTAGCATTAGCAGACAAATATATTAATCGGAGTTTACCGATCTACGACGAAGTGAGCGTGGCCGGCAGATTGGATTTCATTCGAATCTGAAATCTCACATAGACATGGGCAAATTATGAAATATTCATTAATCTTGTCGAATCTTTTCAACGGCTTCTAAGAAAGGCCAACATTTGAAATTGAACATATACGTGCGAGCAAAGATTGCAGCTGAGAAACGTCGGAACCGCACCGTGAAGGCGTATATATATATATATATATATATATATATATATATATATATATATATATACGTTTCTTTCACCATTTCTATGTATTTGCCACATTGTCTTGACTGTAATCCAACATAGCTTAAGAAGCTGATGAGCACTAGATTTTGATTACCTAAAAGATTAGTCGCAGTCATCTTCTGGTCTTATTCACACACATCTCTGGCCTCAAAATTAGTCTGATTATTATATAAGTTATAAGTTACGGTTCAGCCACCTAACACGACAGATCTCTACACCTACTGTCACTTATGGCAAATTTCGATACAATCGTTTCGGTTTATAGATATTATATTTGAGTAGGTTATGCTCGTTACATGAGCAGGTAAGCGAGACAAGAAAACTTAGACCACAGAAAGCTTACTTTTCGATCTAATTCTGTTGGTTGCGGATTGGTTATTTTGCTGCGCGCGCCAACAATATTATCGTAATGTCGCTTTGTTCAAACGTCACCCAGTCCAGTCTGATGTATTGTATTTATTACCGTCTGTCCAAGTCGTCGTCTGCTGCTGCTACCGCCGTCGCCTCTGGCGCATGGAACAGATGCAGCGCGCCAGTGGGGCTGAATGGCTCGATCTGGCAGGGGTTCTTTGTATGTCCACTGGATGAAGAATATCTTCTTTTCAAGAAGGCTTATCATCGTCTCGATCGTTGCCGATCGTCGACTGCCAGTCATTATATGAGAAGTCGCATGTTGGAGGGCCGTGAACGGCGAGGAATTCGCGGAATTCTCAAACCGTTCGAACTTCTTCTGCTGCTGGCGCTTCCTTTGCCGTCGTCGCTGCTGCCACTGGCGGTGCTGGTGCTGCCGCCGCTCGAGGCGATTTTCGTTAAGCGAGTTGTCTTCTCAACATCATCGTTGCGGGCGCTGCTGTCGCTGTGTCTCTGATGGTCTTTCGACTGTTCGTCCCTTCTGGCTTCCCCTCCCGCCGTGTTGTTCTTGGCGTTTTTGATGTTTCTGCATCGACTTCTGATGCTTTCGACGATTATGATTGTAATGATGAGGATGATAATGATGATGATCATGATCTTTTCTTATTTCGTAGCCTTCGTCATTATTTTGTCCCTCCTTTTCTCTTCGTCATGGTATTTCATGACGCTTCTAGCAAGTAGCGACGCTACCAGCGACACCACCGTGTTCGCTGTTGGCTTCGTCGTGGACTGGTCAGGTCTGGTCCGGCCAGCGTGATCTCCCCATAGTCCCGCTTAGTCATTCCTGCTTCAAACGCCTTCTAGCGCCCTCCCCTTTACTCGTTCCACTCATCTCCTTGTTCGTTTCCCGTCGCCCGACCCCTTGTTTTTCCTTCTTTCCTACTGTGGATATCCTTCTTCTTTCTGTTCAAGTTTTCTGTTCAGCAGTCCGTCCTTCGATGCTGCTCATGCTGTAGGAGCTAGCAAAGAATGTTGATCAGTACCTTCGCAATGCCTCAGCGTTTTCTGAGGCCTGACTGACTGACTGACTGACTGCCTGCATGCCTTCCATTCTTTTCGCGGCTTCGATCTATCGATAAGTGTATCGGTACACCTCTTTGCCTGGCCCCGCTGGCTTGGGCCGCTGTTACGATCTTCGATGCATACGCTGCCTCTACTATGTAGAAGTATCCCGAAGTCTGTTCATGACATCCCTGTCCCAGTTGAATGATGGCGATAACAGCTCACGGAAACAAGCTGCACCATTGAAAGTGGATGACCATTCAGAAATGGTGGATCGTGAGGGAATTTCTGCATGGCAACACCAAGTAACATCCGTACAGCAAACAAATAGACCCGTGCGCGCATTTGAAAAACGCAGAGGCAAATCGACAAATAAACTAAATGAAGTATCCGCACTGACTAGCATTTTGTTAGAGGGACGTCACGTAATCGTATCCAGAAACCGCCTCGCGACCGACGACAGATTAGAATCTGTTTGGATCGATTTACAGTGTAGTCCCTATGAGATCTAGTCGCCAAGCATGTCTGTGATAATTATATTCAAAGCTATTTTCGAAACTACCAACATAAACATTATTTTGATGTCATCAATCGTTGACCATCTTACAACGCAAAGAATGTTTATTTCCAACCTTCTGCTACAAAATCCGTCAAAAACCGTTCAAGTAAGCCTTTACTGACTGTTCTTCTTTAATATGCTATCGTAAGGGCAAATTTGTGAAGGACGCTCTCTTAATGAATGAGGTTCACGGAACATTACTTCGTCATTCATTGCCTGGTCGGTTGTTTGGGAATAGAGAAATAGACACAGGACACATTCAACGATTAGTTAAAAGCCGCAAAGACCGGCCGGCCAATTTCGATCGATAAGCAATTATATTACAAGTTGAAAAAGTCAAATGGTACAGAGGTCTGTCTATCAAGGCAAACAAATAGTCATCACAAAATCGGCACTGACAAATTTAATCACATAGCACATGCAGATAACTAATTAACTTCGCCTATTAATTCACAATAGAATTCAACGGCGTGCCGATGAACGCGTCTACGCGCTGTGTTTACGAGAATTCCTTATTTACACAAATGTTTCTTTTTGCGCAAAGGACAGCATTGAAAAAACTCAATCCAACGTCGAGTCAGTAATGAACAGAATAGGTATATCGAGTTCGCGTGCCTAGATTAGAGCTATCGGTAAAGTTTTCCGCGACTCTCTTATTAGAACGATGAACAAACATTGGCAAACCTCTCGTATTACTCAGGTCACCAATATTCCGCTTCACACTTTAGTCAATGTACCTTCTAATTCTAAGACGTATTCTAGGAGGTGACCAAGTGATGGCATTACAATCATTTGCCCCACCTTAAAAACTAGCAATTTTTAAAAAATTTTCCACTTATAGGCTCTTATAATTCGGTTAACAACCATATCGACGCTACTTGGTGTGTGTGTGTGTGTGTGTGTGTGTGCGTAGTACATCTTGCATCAAAAAAGAAAGATATATGTATACATACATGTTTTTCTTTTCCATATTATTAGAAACAGCAGCTACATGGATTCAGTTTATTTCCTATTCAATGACATTTCTAACGGCTAAGAAATCATTTACGTCGCAAGCAAATGCTAGAAAACTTTTAGAGGTGACTTGTTAATAGCTCGATTCGCAAGAACTCATAGGTCAAATTGGGTAGCTTGAGATTTTTGATGTTAACAGACACAGCGTTAACAGTTGTTTGTAGCCCAGAGTTGAAGTTACATCAGACGTTCAATGCGGTGTGTGCCCAATCGCTGGAAAAGGGCAATAATTTGATTTGACGGCAACGTATTGTGGCGAACTTTTGCTGATCGATAGTCGCTTCTTTTGCACCATATTTAGTCGTCAAGTGTTGTAATCCATATTGATTAAGGTTAAAAAGCTATTCTTAGACATTCTGCAAAATGTCTATTCTGCAAGATGTTCGAAAATAACAATAACAACTAACAGATTAGTTAAGAAAATCATCATATAATAATATGATCAACATTATCTAAGGGTTTCACATGTTACTGCAAAATCCGATCGGGACGCCTGTTAATCCGGGTTCATGAATCGCATTTCCTAATCCAGTACACAATCTTACGGCGAGCAGAGACTTCCGGATAATAACCTGTGGATGATGCGCTGTCGTTTCACACTGCGGTAACTGAGACAAAATTAAGTGTACTGAGTGACGAATATACAGATGACTTATGGCTAGACAGGTGTAGCTGTGCTCCCATTACACAATTATAAAAACAGAGGTAAGTGGGGTCGCTGTGGCCAATTTTCGATTGTTAAAGTCCATGAGTCCATCGTTGTTACGATGTTTATGAATGGTCACTGACAACTCGTCTAGCTGAGCCAAAATATAGTCATATATCGTTCTTGTGGTTGATGATGACAATCTCGATAATGCGATTTTTCTTGCGCCCAGCAAAGACGCCTGGCACGTGAAATAACGTGCCGACTATGATAAAACACAATAGTCAAATGATGAAATCAAACCAAACGGAATATCTATATGATCCCTTTAAATGGTGGATAGATATGGATTTGTTGGCAAGAAGAAGAAATGAGTTATCTCACTATCTTTGGTGGCCGACTGCAATTTGTTCGCTGTCCCCTCACCTCAACATTTTGACGATACTGGTAATAGCATAGATGATGACGACGACGACGGTGATGAGACCCAGAGTAGTGGTACTCCGCTGTTTTTCCCTTCAGTTTCTCAGTGTTCTTCAAAAGAATGGTCATCGTCATCAGGAGCAGCAGCGACGGTCGTGAACGTCGTAGTGTCATCAGGGGTTAGCTGCTACCGACGGCGCGTATTGCGTCACCGCTAAATCCATCGTCGGTGTAAACAAACAGACGATTCGACGGATGCTGCACACAGGCACATTTTTACCTCTTATTGCCACCTTCGCAAGGCTATATTTTGTCGGTCGATTGATTAAACTGAACATCATATTTATCCTGTGAGGCATCGCACAGTTCTCCTATCGCCAGTATCGGTCGTTGCCATGCTTCTCTCATTATTATCAGTTTCATTAATGAGATGAATATTGATGCTTGCCCTTGGAACCTTTCCGCTGGTTGGTAAGTAAAGTCTTCAAAAATTTCCTTTGGCTCTTCGAAAGCTATTCCTAATCATTAACGATCTTTGTCAACAATTCTGATATGCTTTCGAATGAAGTAACATCCGATGAGCCACGTTTTTCGTTCAGTGCTTGTAGTTGAAGTAGGCGAATTTAATGAAATGAAGAAAGCGGTAAAGGACCCGATCACGTCCTGCCTGTTAAATTATTTGTGTTACTTTTAATTATGTGCTTTCTATAGGACGTATAATTACATTTATTATCTTTTGTATGATCCGTAAGTAGATGAAGCATTTTCTACGGGGAAACATTGGATTCGCTTTGAGCAGCCCTTCGCCGTAGAGTTCTTGGAAGAACCTGCATTATTCTAAACAGATTGTTCTAATCTAATGCTGGTGCATAACTTACGCATCTTTGATGTCGAGTTGGAAAAAAGAAAGATATGGATTAAGGGCCTTAAAAAGCTGTGTTTAACGCTGCTCAAGTAAAAATCCTGTTTATTAGTACGCTGTCTTTTACGATAAAATAAATGGATTGTTGGACAAAGATTGTTTATTGAAAAAAAAGATTAAAAATTATAAAAATCTGTATATTTTCATGATCACGGTATCATTGATTTTTAAAAATTCGTTAATTATAAAGATTTAATATAATAATAATAATAATAACAAATTCTAAATTTAGATTAAAAGAAATTCGAAGGGTTATCTTTGCGTATCTTGGATTATTTTACAATTTCTCGTGCAACTAGGCAGTCATTATAGGAAAACTTCATAAGTCGTATGTAGAAAAATAGCTAAAAAAATGTTAGATGATTGTACTTTTTCTATCACACAACATTATGCAGCTCTTATAAATACCTTGAAAAGGTAAAATTTACTTCGAGCAACACTGATTCATTTACTAAAATGATAGTTTCGTAATTACTTCGTATTCATTTATATAGATATTCAGAACTTAACATTACAGCGCAGTGTATATATTATACGGGAATACTACCTAATATAAGCATCTAATAGAAATAGATCTATACATCACTAGATTGATTCACTCTGTAGAGACCAAAGGTGTATCGGAAAAATAATAATTTCTTCCAGCTAATTTAAACGACCTACTTCTTTTACCCAACACAGGCGTATACAGTGAATTTGGACGAGTGTAGACAGTTCTAAAAAAGTGAACTGATCACAGACTTAGCCTACTCTAGGATGTAATATATCGTAGGACCACTGATAACTCCCTACTCTAGGATGTAATATATCGTAGGACCACTGATAACTCTAGCGTAGCGTTGACCGTGCATCAAACATTTACCAAACCTAAGAGTCAGAGATTTTTGAGTAGTGGCCATGTGGATCCTTATGGTAGTTCGTTTATGGGATACCAAGATAACAAAAGTTCGGAAGTACACACAAAAAATTAAATTTTCGATCTTTTTAATCCAAACAACATACATACAGTAACAATTCGGACTGCTTTAATTCGGATAATTTTAAGTAATCTACGTTGACTAAAATGTAATTTAAGAGTGAAAATAAGTACGTATAAAGGGAAATATAGCATTATTTAGTATGTTATCAAACCACACGGTCCTTATTAATTTTATCTACTTGCGAATATAAGTAAGTTGCGAATAACTGTGACGTCAAAAATGTAATTGATGCACAGTAATTATACAAGTATATTCTAGTACCAAACTAGACCTCCAAAAACACATTTGAAGCAGGACAAAACTGAAAACTACAATTTTTTATTTTGTCTGTAGTGCTTCGACATATTGTACGAATGAACACATGTCAAAAACGTAGATAAAATACACAGAATCATACACGATTACAGAACCGCCATCCCTTTGTATTTATTTACGTTGTCATGGAGTACTCGTTGAATTTCAAACCTATATAGATCCACAATGCTACTGAAAGTATTACCTTCAAACTTAGCTTGAATACTTCCTTATTGCAAAAAACAATGAATTGTTTGTACTACGCTTGTAATTGTCATTTATTTAGATTAGAACCTTCTCCTGATAATTC